TGGGATCTTAAGACCCACCCAAATATGACAACTAACCTTCAGCAATCAAAATTACGATTATCAAATATGCCACTCTCGGAAATTAGCTGTAATTCTTTGGATTTGGCGAAATTTAGAGCAAAGAAAAGGCAACAAGCAAAATCTTTATCCAAGCCAAATTTAAGTCAAGACAATTTCGATAATGACGCTGAATGCGAAAGAAAAGCAAATAAATTATTTGAAAATTTATTTGGCTAATAGTAATTTTATAATCAAATGTATATTAACATTAATAATATGTATTAAATTAATACGTATATAATATAGTAAGAATTACGTATATGTAATATGGCAATAATTAAATTGATTTTTATTTGTGTAACGTGAAAAATCTGTAATATATCAAATTCTATAGTATGCTCACATAGGTTTGATTTACTTAGTTGATTTACCACCCCAGTAGTACGTACGTACGTACGGTACATATTGCTGTTACTCGGACTAATGACTGTCGATTTTTTGGTCAGCATTAACCGAACGATATTGATTGGCCTAAATTATAACATAACTCTTCCCAAAATCTTACCCTAACCTAACTTAGGCTGATCGGCATTTGAGGCAAGCTCTCCCACTACATTCCGGACAATTATATGAAGTAATATTTTAAAAACTTTGAAGTAATCCTTTAATAATCTCTGTTGCAAATGTACATTTTGTATAAATATTTGTAGCCTATTGAAAAAGATCCGTACGAACCCTTGATAGGCTTAAAAATATAAGGCTCCGTACGTACGTAGCAAGATCTAGTTTGCTAATTATATATAATTTGTAATTTGCAGATTGTGGCAGTGAGTTTCTAATTTCCCATCCAAGCTTATCGTTATTTAATAATAGACTAAAATTGGTAATAGTACTACATATACGTACGTATATGATGAACTACTTAATATCTTATCACTTAAATCATAAATGTATATCGATATACGTACGACAATTTGTTCGTTATTCCGACAAAATGTGTTATCTGTCGGAATAACGGTATTATGAATTGTCGAGAATTTTGAAAACGTGGTAAATAATGGTATTTTTTTTTTAGCAAAGATGTTAACACATTGTCCAAACATGTGACGATAACTTTTGTTTAAACTAATAACGATAACGATAATAATCAACGATATATTATAAGCATGCATTGATAAGGAAAAAAGATTTATAATCTTTTTTTTTATTTAAATACAAATATAATAAATTTATTTTGCTAATTTTACTAATTTTATCAACTCATTTTGTTCGGTGACCCCTCACGCGGGATAACGATAGTCGAATTTCAGTAAATCCATTTCATATAGGTGAGTAGTTATCAATAATAAAGACCAATAATATTTTTTTTGTTTAATATATTTAGTAATCAATATACAAGTTACTTTTATTGTTAATTGTGTTCTACGTTTGGTTAGGAATTTCATATAATAATTTGCTAAATTTTGAATATTAATTGATGACTTGTAGATCCCTATGGCTTATACCGATGCCCGTTGTCTGAAACAGAGTATCTACGTAGCTATTTCTAATATCTAAAATAGCTCTAGCGGGATATTACGAGACAACCAAACTCAATTCGAGAAAGCTATAGAATTAACTCAATTCGAGAAATCTATAGGATTAACTCAATTCGAGAAACCTATAGAATTGGCTCAATTCGAAAAATCTATAGAATCAATCCAGTCGAATTTTGGTTGTTATAGAATTGATTTGATTTTGTAATATCATTATCGCTATTTTAGATGCGAAAGTCCCAAAAAATTGGAGATCAGTCGTATTATTCCAATAAACCCGCGAAATAACTGAAACATTTTTTCGCTGATTAAAATAGCGATTGTATGAATTGTAAATCCCCGAGCGATCATAGAGAAAATGTGGAGCAAAAGGATTTATCCTAAAGTTTTACTAAATCTCAAAATTTTTTAGTTAATCTTTCGTGTAGAATCTACATACCTAATGCTGATTGTCTAGGCACATATATCTGTATATATACATTGTTATTATTGTTATACTAATAACGATAAAAATAAAACATACCGGTACATACAAGTCCTGAAACAGAAACAATTGAATGCGTAATGACAAACCGGTCCGAAGTAGATCTCGGATCCGATACGAACCAAAACAATTATGGCGTATGTATGTACGTACGTACATAAGTGCTATCTTTTGAAACGCACAACAAAATTTGGCAATTATGCGTCAAACATTGTTAACAAAATCTTGCCAATCTACCAAAATTTTTCACACCGTCGAAAAATTTCGACTCTTTTAGTATAGTATAAAGTCACTTACGCCTACTGTGGGAATCAGTACGCCAAATTTCCTTATAATGTTGAAGCTATTCAATTGAATTCATTGAATTGTCTATATTTATTTCAAAAAAAAAACGGTGTGGAATTCATCGACTTGTAAATCGAACGTTCAGCCATGACCTAATTTAGCTTTATTGAAGATTTTCGCTTAAAAATCGTGACGTTAACTCTCATTCTATTACATTAACGTCATTCACCTGAGTGTTACAAACAGCAAAAGTAAATTAAAAAAAAAATTAACCTTAATTTCCGACCCTGCGTCATCAAAATAATGCACTTAAAGAGTATAAGTTATCGCGTAATTTCCATTTATGTATCTTCCTATCCCTAATATCCGTATTGATTCACAGCGTGGATACTATATATAAAGTGTCTGAAAAGACTAAAATTTTCTTGGTTGCGTTTGCTAAAATTATTTCCAAATGAATCTGTTTCTGAGTCCTTAATTTAAGCATTTGGTTAAAACAAAAAAAAAAAATTCCATCCTAAAAAATCTTTTTAATCGTAAAGTATTCGATTTTTACTCTTACAAGCAACCAAAAATCATATCGATGAGTATATTCTAGTACACTCTAAATATTAACATTAAAAAAAACCTTCTTAGAAAAAATTGCGTTCTAATATTACACTCAAGATATAATAAAATAAATGGCTCCTGTTACCAAAATTTCATCGTCATCGTCTCGATCATCGATAACAGATTCTTCAATATTATCAAAGACAAACAGTTCTTTTCCTGAAGACCATTTCTCTCAAGAATTGACAGAGAAGCTCCAATACATAATGGAACAAGAAGGAATAGAATTCCATGACTTCAATCATCAATCAATGATGCCAAATAATCATTTTATCTCATCAAATAATGAAATATGCTTTTCTAATTTTCAAATACCTCAGTATGAATCATCAGGACATCAAAAACTACGTCCTCCACCGCCACTTGATATTGACTTATTATCAAAAACTTCACCCGGTGACCAAATTTTATCACCTGCTGAATTTGATGCTATTTTCGCTTCTTTTTCTGCCATAGCTGGCGAGCCAGATGACTGTGAGTTCGATTGTTTGTCATCCACTTCAACTGATGATACATGTGCGCTCTTGGACGATGAGAAATTATCACATGCTCTTGATTCAATTTCAATTTAAAAAAGTTATTACACTAGACGTGTAGGACAAGTGAAATTTTTAATAGAATTAGGCTATTTTGGGTAGTGAAATTGGGTTTTCAGCGTAGAAATTTAACGTTTAATTTCTAATTACTCTGTCACGTTCCTGTTCTTTATCTCAATATGCAACATAAGAGTAATACAATCGTTTCTTTTTTTTCTTCTTTGTTTTCCATAAAAGTTATACAATCTTCTTATTTTGAAATCATTTTAGGATAAGATTACCAAAGATTATAATTTTAATGTTTTTAGGATGGAATTTTTTTTTTTTATCTTATAATCTTTTGCTTAATTTTTAATATTAATATTGTAAATAGAGTAATACTATCCTTATCTCATCGATATGATTTTAATCTTTAAACACTACCGACTAAATAAAACAGAGTAGTGTTATCCTTATCTCATCATTATGATTTTTAATCTTTAAACGCTACAGACTAAATAAAACTATCAAATTATCAGATTCAAAAAAAAAAGATCCTTTCCAAAAATTTCTTAAAATTATCCATACTTATTATACGTACGTATTAAGTTTTAAGATTATAGATACGTACTCTGGGCTGGTTTCTAATACACAATAGTGCAACATTGTTTGAATATGAATATTGCTAAGAGGGCATCCGTAAATTGTTTAATTAATTTTCTCGACTTGAGCAACTAACTGGATCAATTGTTTTGATGTTGCGTCCGTTAAGTTGAAAGTTCATTAATCGTCACAGAAACGGCTAAAGCTAGAAGCCGAGGGTCTCTATAGTGAACCCCTTGTAGGTGCACTCCTCGGGAAGTGCACTCGTCGGGAAGTGCACTTATAGAAACGTGTACGTACTTTTATGAAAGTCTAACTATAATGGGTATTTTAAATATATATAAATTTTTGGTGCTGATGTGCGATAAATGTGCACTTATGGCTTGCGGATAGTGACCATATTTATAAAAATATTAATCTACTAACAATCCACTTGTACTCTTTTATTATAAACTCTAACCTTAAATCCAGTACTAAACTATAATAAAACAATGCATCCAAACAATTTAAACAATTTTATATTAAAATGAGTTCGATTTCCAGCTTCAGCCATGATAATCAATTATTATTCAATTTGCCGTTAGAGTCGTGCTCATTTAAAATTAATATCTAAAGTGATACGATGCATGCTCGTTGTTTTAGAAGTTATTCGATACTATGACTAACGCCAAAAAGTGAACGGCACTAATTTACAGGTTTTCTTTTAGTGCTATGCATATTTTAATTAGTACATTTTAGTGTCCAGTCTGGGGTAGAGCTCCGAAATGTGCTACTCAAATTAACAACTCTAGGACTAGAATAAATGCATCAAATTTTAACAGGAAATTAAAAATGAAAAAATGATTAATAAATTTAGTGATTTAGAAAATTTAATGCATACGTACGTATCAAAGATGAAATTTATCGGATATGTTCAAAAATGGTTTTCGTAATTAATATTTGGTGTACTAAGTAAAATGTTAGTAGGTTAAAAAAATCGATCTTTAATTTAAACTTTAACCTTAAGTTTAATTTTAACTTAAAATTTGAAGCAAAATTTTCTAATAAGGCCATTCAAACTTAATAAATCGGTTCTCATAACATAAAATTTTTGAAAGTGACCCGGCAACCCGGCTTTTAATTTTATTTTCAAAAAAATTTATATACAAAAAACATATAAAATTTTTTTACAAATTTTTTAGAAAACCCACCCGGATAGTAAATATACTTAAAATTTTTTTTTTACTGTAAAGTTTTGTAAAATTTGACCCGGCCGGGTTATGAGAACCGATTTATTAAGTTTGTATGGCCTAAATTACGAAAAGAGGATATTCTAATAAATTACGAAAAGAGGATTTTCTAATAAATTACGAAAAGAGGATTTCTTTTTGTACCCGGTGGGTATAGTATCCGGTATAAGGAAATAATTAAAAATTATTAATATCTCAAAATTTTACTAAGAAACTATATGTAGATATCTTAAATAATATTAATTTTATATATTACCACATATGTTCTAAATCTACCTTAATATACAGTATATAGGGCATTATACTCTATATATAGGCAATAATAATAAATTTTTTTAAAAAAATACTATATAGTAGTAAATTTTATCTCTAATAAATATCTAATAACTTAAAATTTTAATTAAAAATAAATAAAATAAAAATCTTTAAATAATTTAAAATTAAATTTAAAAAATAAATAAAAATAAAAAGCAAATACATTTAGATTTTATTATAGTTATTTTTAATATAGCTACAATTTTGTTATATTATTGTTTAGTTTTAGCTACTTTAAAATATTTAAAATTTAATTTTTATATATAAGGTAGAAAGGGTAATTTGACGAACTAATCTAAAAACTTTTTATTTTATTAATATTCAAGTGTTTTATTTTTTTGTTTAAACTTCATACATAATTTATGATTATTTTTATAAAAAATTAGTAATATAAAACCTTGTTTTAAGATGACATTAAATGAGATTATACATTGTATCAAAAAGTTTTAGAAAGATAGGGGTAATTTGATAAATTGATAATATCTCATATAATCTAGCAATTAGAATCAAAAAATTTTATACTATTTGATTCATCTCAATAAGATGAATTGAATAGTACAAAAATTACCTGATTCTGATCACTGAATCACAAGATATTATCAATTATATGCTACACAAAATAATCTTTAAAGGAATTTTGATGAAGTGTAAACTTGAAAAATAATCAATAATATTTTGTGATCCAGTAATCAGAATTGAGTGGGCTTTATATCATTCAATTTATCTTATCAAGACAAATCAAATAGTATAAAAATTATTTAATTTCAATTATCAAAATACAAGATATTCAAATTTGTCAAATTACTTCTCTTTATTAAATTACTTCCTTCTACGTATCTTAGTATAATTATAATTTTTATAATTTTTTTAATTATTATAAAATACATCTATGGTAATTTTGTATTTATTATATATTTTATTATGTTTTTTAAAATTTTCTAAGTTTTTATAAGTTTTGTATATAAAATTTTTAATATTAATTTTTTCATATTAAAATTAATATTAAGGTTAGAATTAAAGTTTAAGAAAAGTTTTTGGGAGTATAGAATATTTTTATTTAGAGCACCTCATATCAATTAATTAGCCAGTTTTTGAGATAATATATATATAGTGCAAAATATATAGATATATTTTAGTAAAATCTTTTTTTTATTTGAGTAATCTTGCTAATTATATACTTTTATAAATTAAATTTATACAAAAATATAAATACAAATATACAAACAAAAAATTTTAATTTAATTTACTAAATTCAATATTTTTTTTCACTTTGGTTGTTTTGCTAATATCTTTTATTATATAACATCTGATCGGTGAAACCAAATGCTCTTGAAGGAATCATAATTTGAGATTTGATAGTCTGCAATTATTTTATCACATTAACCACATGAGAGCACTTATAAGCAATCAGCTACACTAAGTAGATATATCTATTTGAATACATCTTGATAAGTTTTAAAACAAGAAACTCTATCTATCTCAGAAGGCACTATCAGATCATTACTCTATAATAGGATACAGCCAATCTAATAATTTCTTTTTATAGAAAGGTGAAAAAACAAAAAAAGATACTAACATTAATACTAATACTAAAAAGGAAAAAGAAAAAAGATAAAACTAATACTAAAAACAAAAACAAAAATGAAAAGTAGATAAAAAAAAGAAAGAAATCTGACAAATTACAATTATAAACCTGTGTCAGGCTTTAAAAATTATATATTACAAGATAAAGAAGTTCTGTATCTAACTCTATCCTAATAATATATATATATATAGCAAAAACTAATGAAGAAGAAAAGATAGCTCTAAACTAAACTAGAAAAACTAGACAAAATAGTTGAAAGATAGTTTTGAAGTATTGTTATGCAGTTAATAGAAGTGAGACACAGTCACCACTATGTTGTTTCAGATATGCCATTTCTGTACATAAATCGCTATACCTACTCAGTTTACTTTAATATACCCGACCGCAATCTAGATTACCCTATTAATATCAGTTTCATTAATATCAACCCAAACTACAAACCAAATTTTTATAAATTTTTATATATTAAAGTTCCCTCATATATATCAATTTTAATATAATTTTTTATTAATATAACTATCAACATGATTTAAAACTAATTCAAATAGGTTGATATTAATGAAAGTAACCTGTATTACTGTATTATATATAATGATAAAATAATATGACTCAAAAATTGACCTTTGACTCAAAATAACACACATGCGTGTATTTAAAATAACGTGCAGGTATTTAAAATAATGCGCAGATGTGTATTATTTTGTGATTTTATAGTATAACTTTTTATATTTATTAAAAAAATGTTTTTAATTTAGTAATTATATTAAATCTAATAAAAAAATAAAATAATAAATATACTAAATATAAAAACTTAAAAAAAATAAAAATCTAAATAGTATTAATTTAAAAGTTATAAAAATATAAGATATAAAAAATATAAGTTAGTTAAATATAATTAGTAAGTAAAATAAAAACTTAAATAGTATATAAATAAGGCTACACAAACTTATACAAGTCACTCTCGTTATAGTGAACTCTCGATATAGTGAAGATCTTGATATAGTGAATAATTTTTTTTAAATTCATTGCCATTATTATTAACTCTTCGCTCGATATAATAAAGTTTATATAGTATTCTCTCGATATAAGCTATAGTGAAGATTTTTTTTTTCAGCCCGATCACTTCACTATAACGAGAGTGACTTGTATTATTGATTCTCATATTATCATTTAATCTTTAGTGGCCCGGCAACCTGGCTTTGATTTTTTTTTTTAAATAAATTTTTTATTAAATAATTATTTGCACAATCCGAATGGCATGAAAAATTTTATATTGAAAACTCTTAAATAAAAATATATGAATAGATTTAGTATTTTTACTCGAC